AGAAGCCCTAGCAGATTCAAGAGCGCGCGCGTCGGTCTTTGTTCCGTGCGTTCGACCGACTTCCGGGAGTTGCTTCTTGTTGCGTATTTTGCTAGCGCGCTCCTCACGACAGGCATTCCGCCGGCCACAGTCAGTCGATTATGTCTTCCTGCTGTTGCTAGGGGGTTTCCGTTATTGTTGATGTTGTTGTCGTTCTTGGTCATTATGCGACTGTAGTCGTCGATGTCGCGTGACCTTTTTTTCGGTTTAGCGTTATTCTTTTGGTGTACAAACGACATGCTGATGCGCTCCCAGTGCTGGAAGCACCTCCTAGCGCTGTGGAGGTGCCTTCCGTTTTGTTTTTAGGGTGGACAGATTGATTGAATAGTAGGGTCTGTTTGTCCGGGGCTTTAAAGGTAATTGAGCTAAGTATAGGTTCCGAACTTCTTCATAAGGACCGCGAGCTGCGTATGGAGCATCGACGGTAGACGTGTAATTCAGGTCAAGGCTCCTGTCATATCATTGACTGGTTGTATGTTAGTTTTAGCCCGAGTTCGCAGTGTTACACTAATAAAACAGCAAACATAAGCTGACTTTCTTTTTTTTTTTTCGTTTAAAGCGCACGTGTCGTCAGGAATATTGCATAAACATAAAACAGCTCGGAAATAATGCAACATTGAAAAACAAAGGAAAAAGGTTCAGCAGACATTTGTGTGTGTGAGTTTTCTTCTCTTTATTTGTCTAATGTTGTCAGATATTCTCAAATATTTCAAAGTTCACCAGCCATGCCGTCTGTTTTACAGTTATTTCTATAAATGCAATTTGCTCTTTACTATCAAAACTAAGTTTTTTGTGTGTGTCTTTTTTTTTTTTTTCTTTTAGGAACAGAGAAAAATTACAATGCACAGGGCTGTCATGGTATTCGTTTTGACGTGACATAACGGTTTCGCGCTAGGCGAGACATAGTGCTTCGTCTGTTCATAGCGTCACGGCTTTATGACGACAAACAAAGCTGCACCGCTACAACTCCGAGTGAAGGGAGGAGTGACCTTTACAATAATCACATTCTGCGCGCTGACATCTTTATCAACCCCACTGTTGAAAACGTTCCTATCATGCGCAATAGCTTATATCATGCACCGCGCTTGCGCAAAGAGCCCAGTGACTCGGAATTGTTCGTCTTTGTGACAAGCACTTGGAATGAGTATATAAGAAATAAATAAAACGTCGTATAAAGTTTGTTCTTGCGCGAGAAACTAGAAAGAGAAATCATCACGCGGTCATAAATATAAAGTAATGCTTTGCCAGTAATCACATTACGTTTGTTGCATGATAATCTAAATTTATCGTTTCCTTGTTGGATGAAAAAAGAAAATCCAAACCAAGAATTTTACTGCAAAAAAAGAAAAGAAAAACGAGCAACTTCATCAATTTTTCATAATGTTAACCTGTTAACAAAACAAGTTTTTTTTTTTTTTTCGGTTACGGACGTTCCAGTGAACAGAAGAAAAAAATGTTGCAGGCAAAACGTATTTGAGATGTAAGCGACAAGACTTTCTTGTTTGTACCACCAGTTCGTACGCCTCCTGGATCAAGGTCATAAAAGTAAATTATACGTTCTTGGGATAAAAAAAAAAGAAAAATCAACGATATGTCATGTACTGAACACGGCAGACTTGGCGTTATACGTCGTTAATTTTAGTAATGCAAGATATATTAAAACGCATAGACGCTTTACACAGGCGCCAAATTATAGCCACCATTGCTGAGCTTCTCAAGTTGTCAGATGCTTACTTAGAGACACTGGATCGGGCGTTGACGTGCCCCCACAGGGGGCCATGATGGGGAGGACACAGTAGAATGCAAAATGGCAATAACCCGTCCTGCTGTGGTAATGGTCAAGTGAAGTGAACGGCAGAGGAGGAAACAAAAACTGAAGGTCGGTTTTGGCGACGCCCATGCACAACTGCTGCAAAGCGCCTATGGTTCTGCTTCAGAAGCATCGGTGCAGAGGTCTCTTGTATGACAAACGGCAGAGTGTGGGCAGATGCTCTCATGCCTCGCGCGCTCGCACACGACACTTCAGTAAATTACGACTGAAAACAGCGGTGTAAAAAGCGAGAGCGAAATTTAAACACAGACGAAAAGCGTGTTTGTTTCATTTTCAGCCACACGCATCCCGGTGCATGTCCCAATTATCTCGTCCAGGACGCGTGGACGAATGCCATTGAAAACTTGTGTCTTTTATACCGCTTCTCCGCGGACTTTCTATGGAAGGACGCGAAGGCCACCGTTTTTATTTTTATTCAGAGAACTGTGTCGGTTTTAGATTCGGCGTGTAAAGAGAGCGGAGCTGGATAGGTCTCTTGACTCGGGCCAGTTGACGCAGTGTCTCGGCGCAGCGGAGCAGGAGGGAACGCGACCGTTGTTCGTGGCGTCTTCTTTTGTCCCGAAATGGGGACAGACGGAGCCAGAACGGCGGGACGTCAGATGTCGGACCCAAATCCGGTTCGTAAATCCAATCCACAAGCCAAAAAAAAAAAAAAAGAAAAAAAAGGGCGGTGGTGTGGCGTACAGCGCAGTAGTGCGTCTCGCTTAGGATCTCGTAGGAGACATGGCCACCTCTTGGCTAAGCCTCGTGAGATTCTGACAGATCTGACACGAGACATTGTTTTTTTCTTGACAATTTATATCTTGAAAAGAATGTATCCGCATTTGAGTTGAGCGTGCGTTCTTACATTGTACGTGAATCACCGTTGTTTTCTCTGTACCGCAATCTCTTGTGTAGTACACTTCGCGGCTCACCGGAGGCAATGCTCTTGAATTAGGCCATAGAATGTGACGGTGAGGCTTGTAGTGTCCTATATTTTTTCAGGTTGTCCCTCCTTTACAGCGCTCGATATCGCTGTCGGGGATTTAAACCAAAAAGTGCGTCGCGTGAAAGAAAAAGTAACAGAACGAATATCGGGTTACCACCAACCAGAAAAGCTGACTGTTTACGTAGCTAAGCTGAAGCGCACAAGACGAAGCTCACAATAACGATAAATATGTATCCGTGTGTGATCCATGACGTACAATATTACTTCAAGTTCCTGATGGTTATAGTCTTTATTCCTGCTTCTGTAAAACTGTAACTTCCAATTTTTTTTTCTTTTTTCAGAGGAAATTTTGGCGATAGTTTGGAAAATAGCTTTTTTTACGAACGCGTTTGCAGGAACGACCAATTTTGAAAGTGTGAGCCTATAGGTTCATGAAGGAACGACACAGACGAAACAATTATCCGTTTCCCAAATTCCTACATTATTGTTGTTTGTTTGTTTTGTTTCTCCAGTGTTCAGATTCAAAAATCGAGTTTTATTTGTTGTCACATCTCGTTACATGACAACAGGGGACTTGGGACAAAAAGCTGCTGGGTACCAGCTTGACGAAGGTCCCAGCCCCCGTGCAGTTCGGAACAGCAAAAATGTATCACGGTATTTTGTTGGCTGCCTGGTCCCACATACAAGCATCTTTGCTTTCGTGGGCCAGCGCGCTTACACCTGTAGTTTTTCAAAAATAATAAAGATATATTATATATATATTATATAATTATTTTGAGATTATTGCGTTGACGCCTTCCCCCAAGGATGTCGTTTTTTTCTGCATCATCCCAATAGCTTGGATGTACTGGGGCTGTCTGCGATTTCCCTAGTAACCGTGCAATCTGAAGGAGTCTGGCTGAGGTGCTTCCAACCATAAATCCGGATGTACGTACCTTAGTGACTAAATGAAGCGCCTAAGAGCGGTCAAGACATCTGAAACGTCATGATCGCTCTTGAACGAGAAGGTACCAGTCTTCGCTAGTAACATGGTACTGCAATATTGTCACTTTTTAGTGACCCTGAAACGTAATGTGTTACGATTTTTTAAAATAACTGGGAACTGTAGTTCTATTAGTTTTTTTTTATGAAGCAACGATGAAAGTAACGGCTTTACTTTTGTCCTTCTTTTTTAGTTTCTTGGGGATTGAGATATCACTGAACGTGTGCAATAGCGATTCCTTTCGCCTTCCAATATGATGTGTTTTGACGTTGAATGTCATATTCGCCTTGCGTAAATATGTGAATATCTAGTATTCACAAGTCATGCTTGTTGAGTAACTGCAGGGATCTGTTCGCCATCAAGCGAGGGAAACTTCAACACGAAGTAGCACGTGTAGTTTACTAGCACTTCGTGCGAGACACTTAAAAAAAAAAGTGAGGGGCGTTTTTTTTTTGTTTTTTTTTGCTTGTTTGACGGAGAAGTAACTAAAAGTAACGCCGCTAGTTTTTTGTTTTTTTTAAGTAACGCAGCGAGTTACTTGTTCGTTCCAGAAACGGTAACGGTAACTTTGCTAAAAACGACTTGCACCTTTGCATTTAATTGCACTATAATCCTAACTTTGGTACTTTTTTTTTCTTCTGAAAGTATGTGTCACTGTAACGAATTACTTTTTTGAATCAGGCAAGAAGTTAGCCGCTTCACCTTCGAAGTGTTTCGTCCAACATTCTCGGCTCATGTTCGAAGCTATGCTGTTGGCAGGTTCCTAAGCGCCATACTCACTGATAAGTTAAAAAACACCGAGAGAGTCTTAGTTATGTTCGCGCTTCTTGCCTCATCATTGGTACTTCGGCCTACCTATCGTCTAATGTCGGAATCTCATTGGCTGAGAAGTGATAATGGGGTGACCCGGGACTCACCACTCTCCGCGTTTCTCGGACAGCAAGTCATCTGCTTCTTGCGCAGGAGTTGCGGTGACGTTCTGAAATACGCCGAGCTCTGATTGTCTCTGATTGAAAGGTAGGGAGTAGACCTCAAGGCAGCTTGCTTTGAGATCTACCCACTGTTCTTCATTCAGAACCAATCAGTGCTCGGCGTTCTAGCGTCCCCACAACCCTTGCAAAAGAAGCAGACGAACTTGCGCTCCGCATAACCTGGGGGTCCGAATTCAAACTTTTTGCCCCGGTGTACCATGTTGCAGAATCTCGAGTTTTCACCTGAAGGCCTCTTTGCTCTTCTTGTCCAGCATGCAGTCCCCCAGCAAGAGAGCACTGCTCCTGGCCACGGCCGCACTCCTGGTGGCCTGCAGCCTCGCGCTGCCCAACGAAAGCAACGCCAAGGCCACGGTGACCAACAGCGAAGTGGTCGCTCCGGCAGCCCCGGCGGCGTCGCGGAGAGCGCCGCGCCTGGACGAACGGAAGTTCAAGTACGAGGCGGACCCCAAGAAGGAACTGACACAATTCATGAACACCAAGAACCTGGTCAAGACACTGGTCAAGCTTGTCTTTGGCAGCGACGAAGAGAGTGCGGCCACTTCCAGGTGAGTTGCGCACCGTTTGCGCGGCAGCCTTGTCTCAGCCTTGGGTCGGGGCAAGCAAACCGCGAAGTACTTTGAATTTGGTTACAAAATCTTGATGATTGAAGTGGCAGAGTTCTTTGTGACATAGTTTGGTATTTGGCTTAAAATGTAGGGCCTAAAAGCCCGAAGAAGCCAAGGTATCGCCAAACTTGGCCACCTCTGGTCAGAGTCTGGGTGTGTTGACTCAAAGCCGCCAAACAAGTACCAAAGTTAAGCTTTACTGCTGGTAGTTCGCTTGCAATTGGCACCCTTTGGCCGAAACCGCCAAACAAGTGCCAGGGTCAGGCTCAGCTTCTGGTTGTTCGGTGGCAACATTGGGACTAAATTGCTAAACAATTGCCAGATCTATAGGCTTCATCGCTGGTTCGTCGGTTCGTACATGGCACCTTTAGCTCAAATCTAACACTTTGGCCATGATGTGGCGAGCCAGAGAAAAACCATAGAAACACCAGAGAATAGCACCCTACCACTAATTAACGCATTGGAGCAAAACCGTATTACGCCCAAGTCAGGCCCCTAGAATTTCCAAGTCTCTGCTAAGTAAGGCGTCTCTGTGGCGTGCTAGCTGGGATCGGACGTTCTAAACGTTTCAGAGCGCCACAACGGCGGTTAGATAAGAAACGTAGCATGTACATGGAGGTTCATATGTCAGGACTTAATATAAGGGGAAAAAATGAGCAAGCAAACTACGAAGGACGTCAAAGCTGGTAGGAAGAGCTTGAAGAAGGACCTTCTGGAAGTTGCAGTGTTGGCCGAAGAAGATTTGATAAGAAAGTTATCACCTTTAGGTCGTTCGATTTCAGAAATCAGATGCGGGAGCAAAGAACTGATTGCGTTAAGACACCCGAAGACGAAACCAGAACGCGCTGCAAGTAATCGCCGTGTTGCGTGTCTAAACATACAATATCCGAAACAATGAGGGCTTTACCGTTGCATGCTCCTCATTTACTCCATATGAGCCTTTGTTTACTGTGAGTCAACGATGGCTGTCTCCTTTGTTGTTTTGGCTCGGCCAAAACGCCTCCAGACAGATCCTGAACCTGCTAGTGACGGTGCTGGACATGCTCAAGACGACGTTCGGGAACCGGGCCCGGTCTTCGACGGCCAGGGGCTTCAGGGGGGCGCTGGACGACGCGGCCCTGGCCGGCACTACCATGCTCAAGGGCTTCGTCAAGTCGGTCATGACCAAGGATGACAACTGCATGCAGCGTTACCTCTGTGAGGCCAGCAAGGACGCCGTCAAGGAGGCTCACGAAGTCGGCTACCTCGTCGCGCAATTCGGAGGGTGAGTTGGAGATGGCTGGCTGAGGGCGCTTTTGTTTCATGTGTTTTTCTTTATAACGAAAAAGTGTTTAAAGTGCAGACACTGTTGGGCGCGTGTTTCTTCCTTGCGCGACGGTCCTGTCATATTGCTCATACAAACACTGTCTGCAGATATGTTCCAAGCACACAAATGTATGAAACAAACATGTGCTTCGAGCAAGCTTGAGGCGCGTTGGCTGATAATTCTGTCATCTTGTGTGCAGCCAACACCGTGTCTTTTGCATGACGTGTGAACGGTGAGATTACAGCCTTCGGGCCCTAACCTACCAGACAAAAAGACACATTTTCGCCCAAAGAACTGTGTACTATACCCGGAGCATGCAGTGACAAATTTAGCCAACCCCCGTGCTCGAGGACTGTCCCTAAATAAGCCTTTCCCTCCGCCGCTCATCCCTCGAATTGCAGGTACGCGGCCAGCTACGCCCTGCAGGCCCAGAAGGCGTCTCCACTGCAGCGCACGTACAACGCCACCAGGAGCGGGCGTAGCGGCGAGGACTGTTTCAGCCTGTACAGCGCATGCAACGAGACCGACTGACGAGGCGGCTGCGAGCAGTTGCTTCAAGGAATCTCTACCGCGGGACTTCGCCCACATCGTCGCACATCACCCACTTCTATTTATAGCATTAAATCTGGCCCCGCTGCCTCTTTTTTATTTTTTTTTATACAAACTTCCTCCCCCGCTGGCGTCTGGGGACTCACGTGAAGCTCTGCCTCTTGTCTCATTTCTTTGTGACGTTCAACACTACGGTCTAACTTGGACTTACAAGGGGCTGCCCTTCTAAGTAGAGACTCAAAAACTAGGAGCGCAAGTTCGTCTGCTTCTTTTGCAGGTATCGGGGTGACGTCAGAACGCCGAGCTCTGATTGGTCCTGATTGATGGATAGTGGGTAGACCTCAAAGCGAGCTGCCTCGAGTTCTACCCACTGTTCTTCAAAGACGTCCCCGCAACCCCTGCAAAATAAGCAGACGAACAAAAAAAGCAGACAAAACAGATGGCGGGAAATTTGTCAGCACCATAGGCGTCAGGTGTCTCTGATGTATATGAGAAATTTATTCAGTGCAGTACCACTGCTGGCTTGGTGTCTTTGAAAAGCATGACGGAGTGCGGGTGCGCGACTGCGCGCCGGTACGATGCCCATTCAGTTGGAAACGGCCATGGGGTGAAGATCTGTCCCAGGATCCCTGGGTGCTGCAGCGCGAACTTTCGCTCTACGCTCTCCAAGCTGTAGTGCGGAAACAGATTCGGTTCCTGATCTCCCGTGGTTGAGAGTAGGCATACATCTGTTTAAGTGCTTGATTAGGCTCAGATACGATTATGGATAGATATCAGGACCAGGGCAATGATCACGAACAAGGATCATGGATGCAAAGTTAAAACAAAGGGATATACCTATTTCAGGCTCAGGTTTATGTTCCCGCAAAAGACGATTCATGGATGTATCAGAATCAGCTGTGTTCACGTATTACGAACGGCAGAGCCAGGTTCATATATATCCCGGGCTACGTTTATATGAGTGCGGTCGTAGCTTTCCAAATCGAGTAAAAATCAACTGCACGCAGCCTGTCTTCCTACTCCTTCATCTTCTACCCATCTGCTGTCAATCAAAATAGTCAAATATCGATTCAATGCACTACGGTCACATTCATGTAAACGCAGCCCCGGTGAGGTTAGACTGATCTCACCAAGCATTCATCACATACGTCACGCCGCAAAACTTCACAGGAGGCACGCGGCAACAGACGAGATGGCTTCGCCGTGTCTGTCTTTGCTCGCCCAGCCTCTCGGCGTGGTGATCGCACGTACCGAGAGATTAAAGTTCCCGCGATACATCGCGGCAGCGGCGCCGTAACGAAACTGAGTCGTGAGATTGGTCTGTAGACCGCTTTAGAAATACTGCCCTCTTTTGGCAGCTGTCGAATCCTCGCACAATGGCGGACTAAACCAGTAACGTCACGGTGCACTTTACGTACTTGGCATGCAGTAAAGGGCAAAAACACACCCACAAAAAAAAAAGTATGAGCACAGTGGCGCATGCACTTTTGACGCTGTTTGATTGCCTCGTCGACTCCTAGTGTTGGCCACACTCCGACGTTCGCTATCTTACGGAATGACTTGCACTTTTTACGATGTCAGCTGTTCCGTCCTTGCGCAGAGGTTTCTATCTTTTAATAATCGGCACGTGACTTCCGAAAGGAGTCTATTGCAAGCATGACGTGTTTGCTGATGCCTCGTATATCAATTCAAGCGTGCAAGCACCTGCTCATGCGCGTTAAGATGACTTCGGTAGGGGCCTGCAATCGTACTACAGTGTAGTAGAATACGGAGTAGTTTTTGGAGCGGCGCGACTCGACAATGGGAACTTGTGAGGCTGCATTCTCACAGGGCAGCAGCACAGCAGTCGACAGGGCAGCAGAAAGTCGCTGCGGTCCGCACGCTGCTCGTGCGCGTGCACGCGGTGCATGCGCACAACCACCGCCGTACTGACCCTACTGCCGATGCGGCGGTGTCGACACCTATCGCAATCTACACCACACGCCTCAACACTACAAAACACTACCCCGTATTCTGGTACACTGTAATCGTACTGCACGCTCAGTTATACAAACAGGGGCATGGCGAAGGATACTTGCAATTGTATATTGCACACGCGCCAGATTACAACCGCCATTGCTGACCTTCTCTTGTCTTACCTAGAACATACAGTGACTAGTCTGACCCAAGTGCCGAACAGCCGAAGCGTGCGTTGAGGAGAATCTGAAATGGAAATGCCCTGCCGTGCTGTGGACATGATGAAGTGAAGTAAACGTAATGAGAGGAAACAAAAATTCAAGGATGTGTATGGCGGCCCCATGCACATCTGGTGCATAGCGTCTACAGTGCGTCAGGATCAAATATTCTATAAGTATGGGCGAGTAATGCCTATCCGGTTTAGAAACGGCTCCAGGTAAGAGTTGGGTGTGATATTGTTATTAAATTGCGCACGAATAACGATGACCATATACGTCTGAAAAAAGAAAACGTAGTTTGATAAATAAATGGCTGTGAAAGAGAGTTCTAAATTCACATATGGTTAGACAAAAACAACGAAAAAAAACGAGGTATGTTTTTTTTAGGTGAGTAAATGCATAATTGTATCTGAACCTGGCATGGCAAGTAAACAATCCCAGTGTAAAGAATAAAAGCGCAAAACAAAATAGAACACGAAGGACAACTAGAAAGACGACACGTAGCGTAACGGGTTTAATTTCGAAAAATACATGCGTAACGCGATAACAAGGCAAATCATCAAATATTTGCCAACCAAGCGGTTATCATTTTTTTTTCTTTTCTTTTTCAAATCCTGAAAGACCGTAAATATGACAGCTCGGAATTACACAAGGTTATCGAGGGGCAGTGACACGTGGCCCTCCGTCACACTCAAAGATACAACACACACACACACACACACACACACACACACACACACACACACACACACACACACACACACACACACACACACACACACACACACACACAAACACACACACACACACACACACACACACACACACACACACACACACGCACGCACGCACGCACGCACGCACGCACGCACGCACGCGCACGCACGCACGCGCACGCACACGCACACACACACACACACAGGCTTCTGTTTTTTTTTTTGTTTCGGTTAAGGGCTAAGATAACGGTGTTGTCCAAAATAGGGTACATATTCACATCTACAGTGCACTGCAAGAACACCCGAGTGGACTGATCGTATCGACAGGGCGTATCCCCTCAGTTCGTCGTTCCCACATCGCTCCGATTGCCCTACGTATAGACGCTTTCAGCCTTCAGGCAGCTGTGCATGGGCGCCGCCATAACCGACCTTCAGTTTTTGTTTTCCTCTTATTCCGTTCGCTTCACTTCATCACTCCCAGAGCAGGACAGGTTATTGCCACTTTAGGTGCTACTGCGTCTTTCTCCGTAGCATAGGCCTTTGTAGAGGCTCGTCAACGCCCACTTCAGTGGCTCGGCATCTCGGTGAGGTAAGAGAAGGTGGTCAATGGCGGCTCAGTCTAGCGCGTGTTGAAAACGCTCATACCTTCCTTTCTGTCCTTCTGCAAGACTGTCCCAGGTTCCAACAGATATAAGTAAGGAATGAGTTTGGGTGTATTCTGAAAACACAGCTTATACACGAAATATGGTTGATAATACATTGCATGAATCACATACGATCACTGTTAGGTATTAGATTATTTATACATTATTTAGGAGGATGCGGGACCGTGAAACATCAGGATGCGAGGTGTGAGCCTGGCGAATATGCATGGATCTGGCATGTCTACATTATTTTTAGATATGGCCAGGTCGCCGATCAGATCCGAAACTCTACTAACACAGCCATTCTTTATTCCACCTCACCATATCCGAAAGTAATATTGTCATTAGCGGTTGCGTCAAAAAAAAAAAAAAAAATAGACTCCACAAATATCGATTCACATTTCCACACCTTCGAACGACGATAGTCGTAGCTAGAAGAGCCGAAGACCATATATATGCAATACGTTAAGGCATAAAATTAAGACTAAAGGGTCTTTCTCGTCATCTGTCCTGAAGAAGCCCACACATGAAAATGCTAATGCGGGGACATCGTGGAAGATTAGGGAAATCTCTCGACGTTATGTGGACGCTACGACAAGCAGTTAGTATCGTCCATACGTCGTCGGCAAACTGACAAATCTTGTTTCGCAAAAAAAAACAAAAAAAAACCCTCTGAATTTAGGTTGGTTTTATCAAAGTGTTCAACAATCGACCGATTTCAGGCATCGGAATGTTAGGCAGATCTCTACCAAAGACTCGTACTGTACATGTTGTCAGTAACGCAACACTGAGGGGGAGTTGTTATTGAGGTGTGGACATCGGGAGGGATAGTCAGCACCCTTGTGTTCCGGTCACGGGATTGGTCTCATTGACGTAACAAACATCAACTTTTGTCCGCCAACAAAACACACGTATTCTTTTATGGGGGGGGGGGGGGGGGGGGGGGGGGGGGGCGTTCGAGGCGTCTTTGACGGTAACGCGGTTGGCACAAATATGTTCTTTTGTGGTCAGTTGGTGACACTCGAGAGTAAACGAGAAAAAAAAAAAGTGCTAACAGTGTGTGTCTGACGTTCTTGTGAGCGGCCGTTGTTGTTTTATCGCTCTTAGGGCGCGATCAACCTCCAAGACATCGTACAAAGTAAAAATCTGCATCTGATGCGTATATTATCTTCCTTTATGATATATAGTGCCATCAGTTGGATTGTAAAAAACGCCTTCGCAGATATTTTCAAAGCATACATATGTACGAAGTAAAGACTCTTCGAATGCGCTTGAAACGTGCCCCCGGATGATTCTCTCACTGTGTGTCTGGACTCTGCAGCGAACACCGTACCTTTAGTATGGATAGATGGATGCTAATGGCTATACCCTTTGTAACGGGCGGTAGCTTGTGCCACCTAGCTTAAGTCTAAAACTCTAGGCTAGATTTAAGACTGTTTCGAACTGCTTTTGCAACACGAAGTGCGAGGAAAAGTAGAAATTGTGAATTGTGCGCCAAGCGCCCCCCTCCTTGGGTCAGCCCCTCTTGCCGCTAGCTTACCTCGCCACTCGACAACACGCACATGTGCACATTCACCCAGTCTGCGGGGGGAGGCGTCCGCCATTAAATTGCCAAAC